GGTCAGTACTATTTCAATGCGGGGGAAATGCATGCAATTGAAAGTTGGTTGACACGTTTGAGTTTAAGGCAACCAACAAATATCGTCGTAAAGTTGACACTACAACATACACGATGAACAACGACGACGACGGTGTCATAGTTTAATTGACGTAAGTAAATGGCAAAATAGAGGATATGCACCAACGAATGTGTTAAACTTGACATTTAAGTGGTGACACTTCTTTTTCAGACATGACACCCGTCAACCTGACACGAGTGGTTCAATCAATAACATGGAAAATGATACGAAACGAGGAGACAAAATCCTCCTCGTCGGCCGTCATTTTCTGTACTATTTACTACTCGTGAGTCGCAACTTGTTGTAATGGAGGAGCAGTGTGTATATTTATGTGTGGGATGATTACACTTGAAGTGATAAATAGATGAGAGTACGCACACGAGGCGCAGCGGAAGAAGAAGAAGGGGGCGGAGGAGCACTTAAAACGTCCCAAATAAATTTACAAAGTTTATTTCCAACCAAATTCATGTTCTGAAATCAAAGTAAATCTGTCGAGTTGTATCTTTTTTTCTGTAATGGGTTCCATCGCAAATTACCTCCTAATTTATTACTCATCTTATTGCTAAAATTAACATAATATTGTTCTAATGAGTTAAAATAGGTACAAATATTTTAAGTAAGCAGATAGAGTACATTTTAGGAGATAATAATACATATGAATTACTAAGGGTAAGTACATCATTTAGCATTGATTAAGATTGCCCTTGACCACGAAACGTTGTTAGTACCTTCTTTTGTACTCAATAACTTCAATATACTTATCCAATCCATCCATCGCTTCTGACCTTTCTCAGAATTCCAACCAGGATTTATTTTCTTTCGAGATGTAAAAAAAACTCTGGAAATTATTACGCAGTTCCTCCTCGGCTTCAAAGGAATAGCATGAAACCCATTCATCCATATCACAGCCATGGCTTGCAAATATCGTCCAACCTCAATACATACCTCACTATGGAATAGGACGGAGAAAGACATTATGACGACGACGAATCATACGTAGTACATATGTCCATATAGCGGTGTGATTAGTCTGCCCACATTTTTTCACCCCTTGTGGTAACAAATAATGCGCTATTTGGCCATGCAATATTGCGAGAGTAATGATACTTACTAATGATGATGAGCAGTACGAGTAGTAAATACATAAATCGAAAACGCTCTCATCTAATGATATTTATCAGTGCTTATCAATACACCTCTGCCTACGTATGCACACACACACCTTAGTCTTTATGCTTATCATAATGGCGGAGGGATAATTCCCTGGAGACCAGTATCCCAAAAAGGTAACAATTCCCCAAAACACGGTCGCAGCAGCAGCAGCAGCAGAAGAAAGCAATATCCATTAATGCCCCGATCCAGCTGAGAAAGGATTGTGTGTGGAGATGAGAGACCGACCCGGCCGACATTCCATTCCATCCAACTCCACCAGCATACACCTGATCAGGTCAAAGGGAGAAAGTGGCGGTGTTGGGTGAAAGGCAGGGAGCGATGCTTTTAGGCAAAAGAGAAGCCAACTTTGAATGAATTCTCTCCAACCTATCTAATTCTTAAGAAGTATGAGCCTTCATCCGTGCCGGCGTGGTTCTAGTGCACCGAGTAAAGTACTTATTAGCTCTTTTCATCCCATCACCACAAACATAACCACCATCTCATCCAGGCTTTTCTTCCACTAAATATGCACCTTTCTCCACGTGGTAAAATTTTGGACGTTTACTGTTTCCGGGTTAAATGAGTATAAAGTTGGTCGGTCGTTGGTTATATATGGTCTCCCATCGAACCTTCAGACCTAAAATACCGTCGAATTGAGTAATTACGAATTAATCTATTTTGCGTGGGAAGGAAAATATATTTGTGTGCTTGTTTCATCTCAACTCTAATGGCATGTGAGAAAAGGAGGTATAAATAATCATGAAACATGAACAAGAAGCTAATCGTCGTTGCACGTTGATGAATTGAGATTGATGAAACATTGGGAGGAACAGAAGGTGCCAAAACTTGTTGCAATGTTGGAATTATAAGTGTGAATATCTGGAAATGTTTCTCTTTATTAAGAACAAGGAATAGAACAAGGACAGGAACATATCACTTGCCTATGTTACTTTGGGATGCTTTTGCAACCTATGTACATTCACGTACATGTGTACTTTTCATGATTTGAAAAACATATTTCTCTATGCACCCAACACACTAATGTGGAAGGAATAATAACGCATTCTTCGCAAGTATCACGGTTCATGATCACACACAAATCAAAATTTACAGAAGAACAAACTGCATTGTAACCAGGAGGTCGTGTCGTGCATGTATTATGCTGCATTCATTTATGTTGTTGCGAGAAAATGTAATTAATTAGGCATCCTTTTCCATGAACTAATTAGGTGCGAATCTAGACCTGGAGTTGTACCAAATTCTAAACTAGCATGCATTCACCTTGCCCCAAATACTCAAGCGTATTCGAATTTCTGTCTAATTTATCAACCAAGTTTTCTCCAGTCCAGTATAAATTTATGAAACAAAAGATTCACCGAACAATGCGAGGACGATGACGAATAATAAGGATAGAAAATGAACTCAGGTCCAGCGATATATGTACATTCAACATGTGACTTGGGAATTGCGAGTCGCATCCAATGCAGATAAATAAATAAGCAAACAATCCCAGAGCCTCGCTGATACTTTACAATTTGAATCCAAAAAAATATAATTTCCATTTCACATTTTAATAGGTAAAATCCCGAGTCACTCTTCTTCTAATGGATCTCAGTCGCACCCTTTGGTATCCTTTGTAAAAAAAGCGAGTTTGAAACACAAATAATGCAAATTGAAACTTGCGACGCGAGGTGCTTCTCAAAATGTACAGACAACCTTTTAGTTCTGTGATATATAATTCAACTTTTTGCATAAGGAACAACTCAACATCAACTCAAACTAAATTATGCTTATGACTCAAAGTCAGATCGTGGAGTCATAACCAACCGTGAAGAACTTTGCACGGAGTAAGATAACGACTGTGATGGTGAAACTTGAAATAATGCTTCTCACAATCTTTCACTTTGCGATGGGTCTGCTTCTTCTTCACAAGGTTTTGAATAATTCTAAATAATTCTAAATTTATAAACATTCCTCTTCCATTCAAAGACAAACATTTGCGTCCACAAAATAGTTAACGTTGCTTCTGAACACTCCAAAATTTGGAGTGTAATTTAGTATGTAGTCAAATCGTTGGAAATATTGAGACCGGGTGAAGAATGAAAGACAATGAAAAGTTAACTAACTAAGAGTGACTAACAAGCTTAATTAATTAGAATAAAACTTGAATTTTCTTCACTGCTACGACGTGTTTGACAAGCACGTGGGGAAGGAAGTAGGGAGAAAGAACCTCTTCGCTCCGGAGGTGGGTAGCATGGGTGAATAGACTAACCGGAACTAACCCAATTGTCCAACAATCATAGTTGGCATTTGTTCAACTAAGAAAAGTTTGATAATAATATTGAGGAAAACCCAAGCAAGCGGGTTGATGCTATCCACAATTTTTTGTACGGGGGTGGGTGGAAACTTGACAAGCTACAGAATCCAGTATGCTATGACTCAACTATTTTCGACCACTTTTTGAAGCACAGTACTCAAATTAAGTATTAAATTCAACCAACACAACTTGTCCTCAAGGGCGGCACACACATAAATTAATTGTCAGCATGCATGTACATACAAGCTGATTCTTTTCTCACGCGTTCTTGACTTTGTCAAAAAAACATGTGTCTCAAAGAGCAGATATTTATTAATTTTGTTCAAGTTCGTCATCATTACATCACAAATGAAAACACGGCGTAATATAATTACGCAATATTTGATCCTAGCGTATAAAAGTGTACTTGTAAACTTTTTTGAAAGATAAAAGACAACAAAATTCGCTCTGATAAACCATAACTCTTCTGTCGAGTGGCTGTGGGAAAGTTGTGGTAAGTGTCTTAAAAACAGGATTGTGGTCCAACTCTCCAACTTGTTTCTACTCATTCTGGAATTTTCTCCTATTTGTTCAAAGTATCCAAGAAGGTGTTGTAAAAATGAAATCGCTCCTCTCAAATATTGGAATGGGACCCAGTTTTCCCTTCACTATGTGCAACTACGTTTTACGATCTATTTATAAAAATTATCTTATTTGCCTTCAAATGCAATGTTGAAATTTAACACCAAGTGAAAATTGGATGATCCATGTTTGCGAATTATCAAAATCACAGCAAAATTAAGCCTGCGAGTCGAATCCGTTAAAAATCAGTCGAATCCGTTAAAAATCAGTCGAGTCAACATGCCGATAAAGTTGACAAATTGAGGAGGCTGAGCTGCAGAGAAAGCAGGTCTCTCTCGACTCCGTCTTCTCCATTGGAAAGCAATCTGTTTATTTTGCTATCTGAATCTGATCTCGAGTCGAAAACCTTGGCAGTGACGAAGGAAATCATAGCCTGACGAATAAAGTAATCCAACTTCATCACCAAAACCATGACACTTTTGCATATGGCTATTTCCCATAAAATTGAGCAGTCAGTGGCCCATTGGGATTGGCCGTGTTGCATTTAAATCGCGTGTCAAACGGGACCTAGTCCTATTAAAGGTCTGAATGCTACAATTCTTCATTGTGTCGATCAATTGTGCTTCCTACAAAAGGATAGCAGGTTGCACTACTGGTTCCATAACCTTTGCTTCATATCGCGTCGAAACATGCGTGAAAAGTGGATAATTATGTTACAAAAAATTCGTCATTACGTCGTAAGCTGTATAAATATAGACACAATTTCGGTTTCATGCAGGTTCCCCTGGGTGAATTAAGGTGTAAATGTGAGCTGGCCAATTTATACAAGAGACCAATATTACGTTTTACAGCGTAACTGGGAAAGCATTAAGTTTATTGAAAGATAGAAATCAAGCTCTAATAAGAGTGTCGTCTTACTCAAAGTCATTATTTACATTAAGAAAACTCATGCACCTGTTTGCACAGGAAATCATACTCGAACAAGTCATTAGAGCAATAATAATAATTCCGATTAAAGATTTTGGGACTCTACATACGTGCACTACGCTTTGCTAAACTCGCCATGTGTACTGCTCATCATCAGTTGCAAACAGACTAATCCTCTCCAATTGGGGGCCCAATTACTTAATTAAACGGGAGTCTGCCTTGGGGATCTCATCGTCAAGTCGAGTAACCTTCTTTTTCGCCACTAAACCAATGATTCCATGTCGTCTTGATCTACGGCAGGAGCGAGGTGGATTTTATGATTAAAATGTCAACCGTCGAATCTTAAATTCACTTACTTAGCTCCGCAATCAAAATTATAATCTTCACTCTAGGAAATCAAATAGAAGTAAAATACGACGATCAAAATTTCTTCGAAATTTGTCTGGCTTATTGACTGAGTTGCTCAGCCGGGCCAACGAGACAAGGCAAACAATGAGGCACATGTACATATACCTCACCCGTCTACCCAGTATCTCTGTCGAAACCAGTTATTGAGTATGGGCACTGCTAATCAAAGCCCGTTCAGTTCATCAGTCGATGAGTTCAAGTCAATCATGTTGACTTACGAGTAGTGAATCCTCTTGGGGCGAAATCCAATGACCAGGCCTGACATGATTCCACTGGTGCGTTATGTTCGTCAAATGTCTGTTATTCTGGTTGTAGCACGTAGAATTCTGTGTATCATACTAAATTGTAAGCATACTGACTGAGGCCAAATTGACGTAAAAGAGGTACTCGAAATTTGGGGAGCTATAGCTCTTTTATTCCATTGTCTGTCCATCATGTATGCCAAAACAAGCGTTTTTTGATGTAATGAGGTATTCACAAAATTCCGAGTCTGATTATGAGATGGAATTTCTCTCGGTGTGTCATACCACTTGTTTCCTGATAGATATGATATCTGTCTGTCTTGTTAACTAATTCAGCCTTTCCTGTATCACGTCAGAAACTGTGTGATCTGTTGCCAGATCAAATGTAGCACCCTGAGGAAATGACAAAGCGCAAACTAAGATCAAGCACTGAAACACAAACTGTTACGTTTTAGGCTTCGAAGGACTTCCCATCCCTTCCAGTCCTATCTAGTTCAAAGGATTAGTTTGGCGTACAGGAGGGCGCAGTAAAAAAAATCCGATGGCGAATAATGTGATTATTCGGTCAAGGGAAAAATTGTGCACAATTAAATAGATTCATCTAAAAAAATGAATTTGAAAAATCAGAAACTGCACGTAGGAAAGTCCTGTTTTTATATATTTTCGAACAATTTAAATTGCTATGCTCTAAATCGATTGTTGTTGAAAAAGCGAGAATGAAATTGCTCAATTCAGTGACTGCTGTCCAGTCCATAGAGATGTAAGAAGATTAGTTGGACATTTGCTCAGGGAGAGGAGACAACATTTTTCTTATTCTCCACTCCTCGGATCAAACTGGAGATGCTTTTCCAGGGCGAGAATTGCAGCAAACCAAAAACCTTTTCTGCACAGATGTGACACTAACTTTACATTACACTACCTGCAGCTAACTGCACGGTCAGAGAGGAGAAGTCCATCAATCATGTACGTATGTTATCATTAAATTGTAAATAAGTATGTAGGTTGGTGCAGCTTTCAAGATTGTTACCTGATTTAAAATACCTTTCATAACTTTTAAATTAATTAGTAAGCTTGAAAGCCAGTGATTTGATTATGGCGGTTTTGAAATTTGAAGTAATGTGTGGATAAAGAATAAACGTTGTCTATTTTTTTTAGTTGAATCGGATAACCGTCGTTAGTGCTTAGAGGTCAAGTTATCCTGCTTGATTTATCACATTGAGATACAAGAAGAGACAAATGTAATTTCAACTCTACGGCTTCTTATTTAGCCGCATTTTTCTCAACTGTTAAGACTTGTATGAAATGAGCGATCAAAAGCAATGGTTGACAAAGAGGTGGACCTTCCCTTGAAAAACTGTGACAAACTCATGAGTGAGGAACAAGCTTTTTTCCTTCAGGAGGAAAAATATAGTAACAAAAGTTTGGAGTCGTCTCTTATTTATTTTCTTTCTTGTCCAGCCATTCATTCCCGTCACATCATCACATCACAACCAACCAACAACTAGCCACAAAGTAACGGGAGGAATTTGAGTGATGTCATTTTTACCAGTTTTTCATCTCAACAACTTGTATCGATTCAACGACAACCAACTTTCCTTGCATCCGATTCGCGGAAGAATTATGAGAATGGGACTCAAAATGTAATAATAAGTGTGTTACCCTCATTTTTCAAATTTATCTTTGAAAATCTTTCATGTATTGAACAAAATTCGAGGGATTTGTAAGCGCATAAATTCTTTAAAAAAAACTGGTTGAGACTTCAAAATAGTTGAATTTTCGGCTGAATTAAATCTCTGGGGATAGGAGGAGACGACTGAGCTGAAGCTTTTCAGATTTATCCGATGCACATTTCTCTCCTCCTCGTGGTGGGACATTCTTTGAGTCGAAATACGAGTCGGGAGCAGGTCAACATGCATGTTCTTCCATTCTATGTTGGACGACAGGCTCGAGTTCAAGTTATTGCAGGGATGGACAATGATACAATAACAGCATGGAACATGGGCAAGCAACCTGGAGAAAGCAGTGCCCATTCGCCACTGTCGCTTGATGCATGGCTTTCATAGAGAAAAGTGGTCACAAGTGGGTTTCTTCTGCCACTTGCTTACTCCATTGGCCGACTAGTTTCATGCGTCCCGTAAAATGTCCCATTATTGTCGCAACTTAGAAATATTTTACAACTCCAGAGAGCTGAGAGCGTGGATGTGAGAACGATTAAAATTCACGCTTAAATAAATATAAAATATAGTTATGAAAAAGTAGAAAAATTTGACAAGAGTAAAAATACGCAATTCTAAAAATCTATTTCCAGTAAAATGTACATCAACACTTTCAAGTAAAAAGTAAAGTATGTTGCACATTCGCGTAAAACGAGACCTTAAGAACCTTGCTGAAAATGAGAGAATGTGGAGAAAGTGTCGTTTGGCTTACCCCAAGGTGTGAGCTATTCTTAAAGTGCAGAGTGTCATAACACTCGACCGCGTGGCCAGAGTGGTTCTTCATCTTGATCGGCTTTTTGAGACATCCTCCCGGCCCGTTGAGGTTGGTGGCAGAGGGCCGACGGTCACTGACTACTTGAATCTGTACTTGTGGGAGGGGAGGCTTCTTGCTTTCTCCCCCAGGAATTCCTTCCACTGCGACTTGTGGGGGCAGAATGCTACTTCCCCCTCCGTCCCCGCTGTTGCTGACGTTATTCTGTTGCGGAGGTCGTACAAGAGATGAGTCCACTACGATTACGTGATTTTCTTCGGAGCAATGATTTCCCACCCCGGGGGGAAGTTTTCCCTTGGTTGCTGAAGAGGTACTTGAGGAGAAGGAAGAGGACGACGGTGGATGACCTTGACCTTGTTTGCTCGTCCCCACCATGGACATGGAGGAAGCCGCCCCACTCAGAGCGTTGAGGAGAGAGCTGATGGGGCTGTAATTACTCTGAGAAGGTTTCCCACCAGACGCAGAAGGGGTGGCAGAAGAGGCGTTGTTGTTGGAAGTGGTCAATGGCTGTGGGGTGGTCAAGGAGAGGGAATTCAGAGAGGAAATTGCACCACCCACTCCACTACCGCCAGCCATATTGTTGCTGTTGCTGCTGCCACCACCAGCTGCAGAACTTGAGCTGCTCGTACCTGGCTGGCCCTCTCCTTGTTGTTTGTCTTTCATTTGACTTGAGGTGAAACAAGTTGTAAGTTTCACTTTGAATATTAATGACCCAAAAGGTTTCCCATTGCAAAGCGTGGTCACATTTGTTTTTGGATTTTAGTTTCCCGTTTGTCACAAAAGTATAGTCTGTTCCGTTCTTCGGGTAATAATACGTGATGAACTGTATATAAGTTACTTAAAATACTTTCAGAGTGAAAGTAGAGAAGGTCAAGTTCACCACTATCAAAACAGATGAGATTCTGTCAATTTAGTCGTTCACTGCAAAACCGGAACAAGAAATGTGCATGGTGAAAATCTCACACACAGTGAGGGCACATTAAGACTTTCTCAGTTCACCATCTCGGACACACAGGTTCAATATAAGATTTCAATACAAGAATGTCTCAATCGGTGCACATTAGAGAACCAATGCAGCTAAATGACAATCATTTTTACTTTATATTACTTTATTTTAATTGGAAATGACGAAAAATTTGTAGCTAGAAAGTGAAAGCTCAAGCACCAAGTTGAATTAGAGACTAGGTAATTTTACGGTTTTTCGCTATGCAGAAATTTTCCATGAAGCAATAATTTTGGGTGAGACGACACTGTTAAATCGGACTTATTCGAATGTTTGTCGCAACACTGGATTGCGGTGCCATTCGTAGCGCGGAGAGAGGTGCTTCCCGTCGTTGGAGAGAGTGAGGGAAGAGTGAGAGAGCTCACAGAGTTATCCGAACTACTTTATACTCGTCAACCTGGTCGTGGAGTGGTGGTGGTGGTGCTTCTGCTGCTGTTCCGGATTTTGGAATTCCTGGCGTAGTGGTAGCTTCAGGCCTTGCACCGTACTTTCACCGTCAGTAGTGGGACCCTTCATAAAATGTGTCTTCCTTTCGTCATCGTCTAACTGTGAACATCATAATTTGATCCCTCTTGTCACCTGCGTAGCTCCTGACAAAAAAATCATACGCTCAACTGAACCACAACGGCCAGCATTGTGCCATCCCTCGTACAATTAGTAATTGTACGAGTAAGTAATTCTACTATCCTGTAGTAAAAAAAATGGGAAGACTTTCCTTTAGGGAGTGGTAATTATGTACTGCAACGCCATCGTGGTACCCGTTTTTCGTGATTCCGTTGAAGTGGAGAAAGTGCAAGGCTGGACAATCCCTTAATTGTACCTGAACCATTGTGACGTAGATGAGCATGAGAGTTGTATTTGTATTGCCCTTGACGGGAGTAGTGGGACTCAGATTGTCGGATTGTACGGTTTAACTGAATCCGATTGTTGCTATTATTACTGGAGTATATATACAAGTCTTTTAGCAATATTATGTATTTCCGAGAAGATGTTGGTGCAATGGATCGTCTTCTTGTGCAAGAGTACAGAAACTGAGGAACACGAGTGGAAAAACATTTCCGATGTATACAAGGAAGACAACAACATGATACGGATCTCAACTTTTACTCTATTTTTTAAGATAATTGGCAGAGACATCTTTTTCTGAATAAAAGAGCACCAAATATCAACAGAATTGGGGTTTTCTTTAAATCTGAGAAATCTTTCAATCCTTGAAACAATTCGAAATGTCGAAAAAGATTGTTACAACTCTCGCCTCTGTTTCTGGAAGCTTTTAGACTCGTAAATAAGCGAGTATGTGGAGAAAGCGAGAGCTGGTTCACAAGTTCCTTGCTAGATATTCTTACCTGCTAACGTAAGCTAAACTGTATGCGTAAACAGCTACCACGACTCCTCTGCTATGCGTAGTATAAGTTAACAGTCAACTAAACCTCTCTCCCTCCCAAATTACAATTACAATTACTCACCTCACCTTGGAATTCCCTACCTGGTATCCGAATGCATGGTGAGTTGACCAAAAAAGAGCAAAAAGGATGCAATTATCCATGATTATTCTCAACATTCCTGCATCGTGTAGACAAGGTGGCCATTCAACCTTAAAATGTTGTTCTCATTGATTCCCGAATACGTGCACGAACAAGGTCTCGAAGAAAGAGCGGAAATGACTATACAACAATATACACATTTTCTGATCTCATGTACTATCGCCAAATTTGCTCGTCAAATTCGCCAAATTCTATGTCGCAGTTTAAAGAAGGTAGAAAACACATCATGGAATATGTGCGTATGTATATATTCAAAGTTATATTCCCTGAATAATACTAACTCTTGCTCACGAGTACATATTTCTTACTTGGAGGAGCATCAAGAAGTCGAGGGGGTGAACTGAGCCACCTAAAAGAGCACTTGACTTTCTCTCCTCATAGCACTTTTTGGTGCTGAGCCAGCCAACATCACCCACCTGGTCAAGTGAAGGGTGAAGGTCTCTGGTCGTCGCATCTCTAAAAAAATCTTTGCGGTTTGGAAAAGTTTACGTTTTATTGAATAAAAAAGTAAAAAAAAAAGTTGTCCTCGTCAAGTAGTTTACAGACGAACCGTTCTCTCCCACGCTTAAACCAAGCTCGTCATCATTTTATCATTACGACTTTTTACAGCTTCTAAATCTCATTTAGTCGTCTTTCATTGAATTCCCTTGTTCTCTTCTTCTCCTGCTTCCATCAGATTTTGGTAGGGAATTTTGAATTGAAAAGTAAATCAGTTCGGTTCACGGCGTCTCGCATGTCTTCTTCAACAAGTCTTTCGAGCTCTTTAAAAATAACAATAAATTGAGACAAAGGCTTAACTCTGTGAGCCAGAAGGAATACAAGGGCAACCAGAACGTCGCCTGATAACAGGAGCACGATTACATTAAAACTTGGATTTGCATTTTTACTGCAGTTTATCCCCTCATTTGAGAACATATCGATTTACTAATCGCACAAGTGGTAGAGGATGAACAGATGAAGGTACATATCACAATTTAGGAAGCTCACAGAAGAAGAAGAGGAGGAAATAATAGGGAGATTCAGTGTCCCATAAAAAACACAAGAGATTTGTACTGCACTCACTTCCCCAGCCAGCACAGGTAACCAACAATCTCTTGTTGTGCAAGTGGGCTACCAGGTAATGGGTGGAGATGCATGCCGTGTGTCGTGATGATTAATTCCCAAATTAATCCCGCCTCTTATTTCGTCATTCCATTCAATTCAATTCCAACGGTTGGCTGAATTTAAAAACATTCGTAAATACGTGCAGTGGTCACGGTGTGAATTTGCGACTAAAATTATTCTCACATAATTCCCGTACTCTACTTTATGCCAGGAGAAGACGTGCATCCAAGACGGGCAGGCAAACTCAGAGTCGTCTTTGGGGAGTTGCTTTCATCACATTACTTTCTCTCCCTTAAATGCTGTCTCTCCGTAAGGCCCACACCATCACCACTACTTTGGCTGTCCTCTGCTGGCTAACAAATGGGGAGGACTACACTGCCAGCAACGCCTCTGGTTCAGGAGAGAATTTAAATCTTTCAGTTTCCTACAGTTGAACCGATTTCATAATCGGGTGTCTTTTGGAAAGCACTTGTTATTGGAATTTTTTGCTAAAACGCAGAATTTACCTAGCAAAATATTGTTATTGATTTTATAATTCATTCAGCGTGGGGCGCCACATTGCTACATTTATGGATACCTAATGTACATGATCTATGATGTAAACAGACCGTCTTCATTACCTCCTTGCATTCCGCAAATGAATGTATCATCGTATGTACTTGGGCCACATACATGATGCTCATATTAATACTTCATAATAACAACTTGTTCCCTATGTACATTCACTCACTTTGACTTAACAGCTAGAGACCTCACCAATTAAACCAATTTGAGTATGTAAGGCATGCTCGTGTAATGTGCTACTTGATAGTCAATAAACGAATGCTAAAACAGGCACCGAATAATGAATGAGTTTGCGGACACGTTCGGGCTGAGGGCATAATTGAGTAGTAACTAGAACCAAGTTATTTCGAGTCTGGGATGGAATCATCAGCACAAGTACCTTGAAATTATTGATGAGCATTAGTTTTGAGTTGTCAAACCTCTCACACTGCGGAGGACATGGGATGGATGTGACCCTTCCGGAAATGGAGGCCTCAAAATTCTCGTGAAATTTGGGTGAACATTCATAAAAACCCGAGGCAGCGAGATTCCTGTTTGGAATCATGTCTTGTGAGTGGGACAAATTGACTTTTATCAATTTGTTCAGCAGCTTTCTCTAGTGAATCAATTGGCTTTCTCCGAGTTGTCCATTTATTATTTCGTCGGATAAGTTTTTGGTTTTGAATAAGTGCAATTTAAGTAAATGGATGGATAAGTTTGAATTGAATTGATATCTGTCGTCGACGAGATGGACTTAAATGGTGTCAATACGACATTCATCCATCCAAGACTGGAATGAATGCCTTGCTCATTATCGCTCTCTTAATCACTTTCTTTTACAAACGCTAAAAAATTACTCGAGACAGAAAAACCATTTAATTTTATTTGTTTTGGTTAATAGCAAAGATACAAATAGCAGACGCGATTCTTCAAAAAACTTTTCTTCAGATACTGCCTTTTCCAAGACAAGCTTTGCAGTAAAACTGAGGAAAAAATTCTATTTTTAAGCAATGAATGTATTAATTTAGTATAAGTTAAAATTTGATAATTTATTCCGTAGTCTGGATTTCATGTGGGCTGGCCATACGAGCCCCTCAAATTAACATTAATTTGGATGAGAACATATGTACTATATGTTTTAAATATACTTCCACGCCGAATGGAAGTAAACGGAGAAAAATAGAAAAATCAGTTACATATTCGACCAATCAGTCAAACAAGGTTGGAAAGCCACGCCACGAAACATTACATCCCAGCAGACTTACGTGGAGGCGGTGGCGTAGTAAATGGAATAAGAGATAGAAACCACCCACCCAGATAAATACCTAGCTCTCTCTGGAAGAAAGGCAATAACTCTCCCACGCACGTTAAGGTGCTGACAAACTGGCCAATGTGCAAACCCAATTGGCAAATTGATCTGTCAAAGTAACAAAGTAGCCAAGATAAGCGAGCGACACAAGTTAGGATGGATCGCATGCATCATCATGGTGGCCGACTTTGCAGATACACGTGCACTTTGAAATTTCATGAAACTTACACCTTGTACTGCCATTTAAAAAATCTGATTTTAAAATGCGTTCCCGATTTATGACAAGAAGGGGACCGGTCAGGTGAAAGTGCTCAGTTGAATAACAATAAAATAGTCGCACAACCCATAAATCCGTTCGTTTAACTCAGCCAAATCGTGACACCCGGTATGAGAGGCCACCTCCTCACATTTAAGTGGATCTCCTCACTCTGTTATCAAACCACTCGGCCACCCATCATCAAGCCAAGGCCAGCAGAAACAAAATGATCAATCAACAAGTAACAACAAGGGAAAGTTGGGGATGACACGTTGATGGCAGCAACAAACTTTTATTGGCCTTCGCCCCAATGATTCCTCGAAAGATAACTGCTGCCACTGGACTTATTATTATTATTGTGCTGCGCTTCACCAATTCCGTCGTTCCATCATCAAAGGTCCGTCCAAATCAGGGCGATACGTAAAAGAGGAGACAGCATCCGTTCCTTTGAAGATATGTCCATTTCATAAGTGGAGCAATTTGTTATACTTGGATAAATATGTATGAATAAATATTTTCCATCCACAGTTTAAAAACGGTGGCTCCATACAATTCATGGAGCTCATAAAATTTTGAAGC